AACTTTGTAACAGTGCAGCTTCCATCTCGTGAGTCCCTCCTGGTCCTGGTCGCTTGGCCAGTCTCTAGACTGCGTAGAATCCCCGTCGACCTGACAGCTTATCTCAATCTCTGCCGATGACTTCCCTGGTCGCTTGGCCAGTCTCTAGACTGCGTAGAATCCCCGCAGACTTGACAGCTTATCTCGCCCCGACGTAACAAGTCTTTCTCAAGAATAATGTTTCTGCCACTAAATAAAACTACCTCGTGCATTAAACATCTGCACCTTAGCACTGACTTGAAGGGTTCTGCCCATCATTCTACAGCAACTTCCCTTTACCCTTTCTTTTCCAGGTCCTTAACATTAAAAACCTCCTTGGCATCCAGCTATTTCTATTTCTCTCTACATTCAATAGCCAACCCAAAATCATGCATATCAAAACCCCCATATACTGTGTGTGTTAAATGTAAATGTATGCAATAATGCATCCTACGCTTGGCTACCTCTAATTGACCTTAGAGTAGTACATTTCCTTTGAGTAGTACATTTCCCTTCTCGCCTGGATAAAAATTCCTTTCATGACATACAGCCAGTTGTAAGCCATTGCAGCTAATAAATGCCACTGCCTACTCGGTGTAATTTGATGGAGATTAAAGGAATAACATGTGTGCTAAAGATTGGTCTTACCTATATGGTTGTTAATCTAAGGCATATACACATTCTCATGTGAGGTCATGCAGTTTGTGAAAATGTGTTTTTATGATATACCAGTTTGTCTATATGAAGTTAATTATAGATTTTCTCTATCAGATTTGAACATTTTCTAAGGACAATATAAATCCGAGTTGATATAATTTCCTGCCAAAATGTTTTCACTGCAGTAACATTATTCAGTTGTTTATTTTGATGCTGTACGCGTTCTTAGGCAAATGATAAAAATATTCAATTGAGGCATCAACAGGTAATCATCAACACATGGTCATGCAAACAAAACCTCTAGGGAGAGTTCCAAATTGGCCCTCAAATTTCCGATTTGATATTTTAAGATTCATCACCATGAACGGATTTGTCTATGTAATGTAAGTTTAAAAACAATAAACCTCCATGACAGAATCATTGATTTTAAAATCAGCAACAACCCTTAATAAGATATTTCTCGAAAGTGCAGGCTGAAATAGCAGCGCTAACTTAATATGGATAAAGACTTTAGTTTTATCCTTTATCCTATAACTAGTATTTTGATCTTTCTTCCGCAAGATTCTGACATTCTTTTTAAAATAATAGAATTCTTGGAAGTATCATTGAAAATCTTAGTTCCTTTAGACCTTACTTGATGAATTCTTATCAAACCAATAATCTCATACTCATGGCAAACTGATGGCAAACCCATGGTACCCTGACTGAAGCATTTTTAATAGCTTTAGCTGAATTAATTTGAAAGTCTGTTTCATGGAAAGTCGTAGTTGAAAAAAGCGACATGTCCACGAACTGTTTAGCATTGTGGTCCCTCTTGCTTAGAGCTGGAAAGGGAGCTTGTATCTGTAGGCTGGCTGATGTTCCACATGAAGCATAATGTTGCAGGGAATTCAGGCTCTGCAGTCTAGAATCTGGAATAAAAAGTTATGCAATAAAACAATTAATAACTACTAGTTTAATTGTTCAATCTTTCTACAACTTTTGTATTTCTGATCATGTCAATTTCTTTGATTGGAAATGAATAAAGTAGAATGATATAAAACATTCTTTGAAAATATTGATACGAAAGCAGTTCAAGTTAAGAAAAAATTATAAATAATTTATTTTTAGGCTTTGGAAAAGAAAAATCTCATAACCATTTGTGTATGTTTTATACAATAGATACAATCTGAATTAGATCTCTAACAAGGACTATGAAAACTGTACTTACTCTTTCGGGGTTTTTTTCTCTTTCATATTGATTACTGTAGAGGCATGGCAATGATGACAGGCACAAAACATACTAATACGATCAATTAATTTTACTGGTAAACCCTTACCCTTACCTTTTCAACTTGAAGAGATGAATAAGACCTTAGGTATGAAAGTCCAGATGCCATGAGATTTGCAGTTCATGTAGATGCTACAGCTCTTTACTTTGCAACCTAAGATTTAAAACGGTGATAAACATATTTCATGAAGAGAGCAAATATATTTCTCAGAAAAATTGTTGTCACTTTACCTAATTTAATGTGTTCAACTGAACAAAAGCAGATTTTCGTCAGTGATTCTAATTATAATTACAATATTTTTGGTCCAACCCATTATATGTTAAGGTGGACTTGTGTAATGTAGAAACTATTCTTTCTAACACACATTTTGGACTTATGTTGCTTTTGACTATGATCCCAAATATTTCTTTAAAATCTTGATCTTGAACTAGAGCTTTTATTTGCAATATCAAACTACAACAGTCAAATCTTAATCGTGGTTACTCTGATCTGAAACCGAACCATATTGTACAGATTGATTAAAACTACCCTCTGGGGAAAAGAAGGAAAAGAGATACAATGGTATATAACAAAGATAGCAGCTTACATCATGCTGTACGCTCATTAGAGTTTGTTCAATCACATCTTTATACTTTCACTGTTGCCCTATTCTATGCACAATTGATCAAAATCTGGCTGATCAAGTATCTATGTTTTTGACCCGCCATGGTTGGCTTCCTATTAGATTAAGAACACAACATTTTCAGTTTGTTATTGTAAAATCCAATATTCGGTATCTAAACCCTTTATCATAAATGAATATAAAAGACTATAAACTGAACAAAAAGTTAGTACTTTATTTCTATGTAGGTCTAGAACATGAAGAAGAAAAAGAACCTCACCCTTATTTCATGTCGGTGTTCAAACTTTGCTAAGATAATCACATCAAAAGGCCACTTAGTATGGTAGGATCTTGCAGTACACCTTGAACCAGATTACATTATGCAGATCCATATCCTTTCCTCGGGGCAGAGGTAGGATGAGAAACGTTGAAGACTATAGAGGTCTATTTCTTGGATATGACTCAAGAGTCCATGTCCACTCCATCTCTGACTCTGAAAGAAAAATGAAATGAAGAAAAACAAAATATAGAGCTCGATACATGAGCCTACTACATAACATTCTATATCTAGTCTAAAATCGAACTTGTTACTGTTAGATGAAGACTAGATCTAACTCCTGTTTAATTTAGATCTCACAAACATACAAGTAGTCTAGCTGATCTAGGACTAAGGGACTAACTCTAAATTCTGATGTATCTAAGTTAATCCTGCACAAAAGGTGCAGTGTAGAGACTAGGTCTAGACTACATCGACCCTAAGTCCCTAAATCTAGTATAATGATGCAGACCAAATCTACATTAAGATCTTATTCTTAATCAAGATCTAACTTGGTCTTGGGTCTGAAATTGTGGAGACAATTTTTTTTCTTCCATAAAATGTTAACGTTGAAACAATGACCCCGTCGATTGTTAATGTTATTATCAACATGAAAAAGGGGCTACCGCACTGCCTACCGGCAAATAACAAAGTAGACTAGGCCTAGTCTAGATTTGGAAACTGAGCCTTAACCTCAATTTATAGCCTACTTAGGCCTAGATTCTACGCACTAGACTTTTTATCGGCGACCATTCAACGCGATGATTTCTAAAGCCGTGGTGGACTTATTTATTTTGTCATCAAACGCAAGAATAAACTATATTTCCTAATGAATTCAGACCTGTCATAACCAAATATTCAATGTCGTTAGACAAGTAGAGTTGGACATGCATGGATGTAATGAATGGGACGGAAATGCATGAACCAATGCAATTCGTCCATCTTATTTTTAGCTCAGAAGTTGGGGAACGCTAGACCCTATTATTACTAGTATTGACAATTATGTCAAATATCGTTCGGTTAAAAATGAGAAGAATACTTTTCTTCCACCAAAATTTGTTTTCAACAGAATGAATATTTTAGAAGAAAATGAAATAAACTCACTTTTTGAGGACCTCTCTTGCAGTAGTTTAGCGACGCATTTTTGTGGTTGACCTACATGTAAGTTAGACTAAGTAACATCGACTAGCTTTGATCACAGAGCCCTTTGTTTAACCTAACATTTATCAAGATCGATTAAATTTGATTCGATGAAACAGCTCACGAGCATCAGTTTAAAGGCAAAAGTGATTCAGCCTTTAATAAAACAAAATATTTTCAAAGATATTCAGGCACGTAGCCACGGGGGGGGGGGGGGGGGGGCTTGGTTGAACTTTGTTAGACCCCTCCCCAGGACGTCGATCAATTATGTGCCCAGCCCCCCCCCCCCCCCCCCCCCCCGCCCCCCCCCCCCCCCCTAACATCAAACTCTGGCTACGGGCCTGAAGATATTAAAATCGAAATAGAAATTAATTTTAGATGATGAATCAACCTCCGGCGGTGGGGGGGGGGAATCGTGAAAACTAGTCATTTCCCTCTAGATTTGGCATTGTTTAAGCTTCGAAAATTTACTAATTATAAGTCGAATTATGGTCTAGAATGCTACGATATTTTCGTAATAGAGTCTAGGTCGAATTATAATAATAATAATAATAATAATTCATGATGATGATAATTAATTTTATAAGGATAGAAAATCTAAGGTTTGTATTTTAAGTCAACATGGACCCCGGGACATGGACTTACATCAATTTAACTTCCGACGGTGCATAATCCTAATAATAGTATTCAACTGCATATTTTCTAGACCTAGATCTATTAAAATTTTGGATTTTTAATACAGGCATTCAAATTATATTCATTGCTAGTGACTAGACCCTAGTCTACTTAAAAATTATAAAATAAGAATTGAGAGCGATAATCAAACAAAACCCATCTTAACTTTCAGTCAAAGACTTGGAAATTACACCCACGTTTTAACCTTTGCATCTTTTCACGTATTTGTATCACTAGACTCTATGCTTTACTACTGCAAAGTATCTGAATAGAATAATCTAGTAGGATTTTAATCTATTTTATACACGATTTGAACAAGAACCTACCACACGCATAACATCGTCTTCACCCGTCTGCAGCACTCGATGAGGTAAACCAAGTCTTCCTCGACTGTGCACTTCACTCTGAACAGGGTTAGCCACTCCAGGTTCCTGGTTTGTTCTCTGATCAGAAGACCCAGTCCTCTCATCGTCTCTCTCGATACACTCTGCTTCTCTGATGGGAGTGATGGCGGTGCTGTAAGGTCGATGTTTGTGAGCTGCTGTCCTCCGGTCCGACGAAGACAAGCCGTGATCTGAGGTATGTCTCTCTCTGCATCATCGATAGTAATATCGATATGTGTCAAGCCAGGAAGCGATGAAAGCAGACCTTCATAGCTTTGTGACGTCACACTATCGGCTGATAGCTTTGTGACTGGTGGAAGGTCAGGAGGAGATGAAGGGAAACTGAGAGAGGAGTCTGAGATGGTGAGACGGTTCAGTGAAGTGAATGATCTAAGACAGGACCACAACTTTTTGGTCATCTCGGTAGATAGCTGGCATTTCTCTACACGGAGTTGACCATCATCCTGGAATGAGAAAGTAGTTTAATATGTAGAATTTAAAGAAAGGCACCTTGGTATATTAAGTTGACATTAGAATTCAGAAGCCAAAAATAAATAAAAATTATATTAAATACTATACCTGTCCTTTAAATAAATTACTGCCCTCTCCCCCTCAGGAAACGAGTGTTCTTTTGTATAACTTCTTCAACTCTTTCCTAATCCATTCATCCCTTTAAAACTTTATCCCAGAGCTAGAACATTACGTACATACTAAACACACCGGGATACTCTACACTGTAAAATATCTTTAGTTATTGCTCACCAGACGACTAGGAGCCGCCCGTTTGTTCGATGCGATTGTAGAATTCACATTCCAAACACATCCATGAATACACAATCTTTAGTGACATCCATCATACGAACCGAGCTTTCTCAAACGCGCCGAAAAGGGCGCACAATAAGTGTGTAGACTTTTTACATACACGTACTCTCCACTTCACGAAACCATTATCTCCCTAAATGTATCTTTCTGTAACAAAATATCTGTTCTAATTGAGTGCCCTATGACAGCTATTCTACGACAAGAAGGTTACGGGTTGTAATAAAAAGAAGAAAACAAACAACAACAACTTCAGATCCACGTAGCCAGAATAAACATTACACAAACTTTACACAAAATATAAACACATTTGAACTTTGCTGTGATGAAGTCCCAACGTACAATGACTCCACAAACATCTTTATGTAGTATAACTCCCTCACAATGTCAATATATTAATTAAGCTGTAAAACGATGTTTCTTGATTAAAATCGACCGATAAGCTACTCCCGTTTGAAAATTATACGCAAAATTAGCAAGTCACAACATTCGCCTGTGTAACTCAGGCAAAATATAATAATGGATTTCCGTACGAAACAATGGAATCACTTAAATGCCGAGCAGATATAAGTCCCATCACTCAAATGTCTCGCTGCCTTTCTCTGTTTGTTCCTTTCTTTCTAGCTCCTTCTCTGATCTCTTTCACCCCCCCCCCCCCCGTGTATTATGTTAAGTGATGTACACTTTTCTAGAGGCATCCGTTTTAGCTGACTCATGTTTCATGTAATACCCACGTACATTGTTCTCCCTCCCCCTCCCTCTTCCTCTCTTTCTCTCTTCTCCTCTTTCGCTCTATCTTTACCAGCTTTCTTTGCTTTTCCTCAATCTATCGCCATCTAATATTCTCCTGCGTATCACCTCATTTTGTTTTCAACGGCTGTAATCAGTTATTGGACAATTAAATAATTTACCGACTGAATGTTTTGATCATACTATATGTTCAAAATTAGTGACTGTTTACAATATCTTGAATTCATAATATTATATCTTTGTTATGTTATTAATCTTTGTTTTCCTTATCTTTGTTTAGTACGCTATTTATGAGTTAATCAGGTCGACACATATATTATATGCGTTGTTTTATTGTGCAGAGCGCTCAGGGATAGCAGTTTTTAAAACTAAAGAGGAAAGCCTGCTTTAAATAAAACGGTAAAGATGATATAAATAAATATGGCCAATAGATCAATCTCTTTGTATTACAAACATTAAATTTTGATCTGCGAATGGCTTATTTTTTCATGTACACAGGCAACCTGTCTCTTTATTGCATGATATGACGGAGCGGTGGGTTGGTGGATGGCCCTGAACATACCGGCAATTCACGGTTTGTTTTTATGTTTTCAATTTTATTGTCAATCTTTTGTTAATGTAGGGTCATCGAAAGCATAATCTTATAATATTGTAGTTTACATGTACATGCAGCACCTACATCCAATATATTATAACAATAAAAAGGATGCCACTATATTTTTCAAGCACGATATACACATGATATACATTTAAATAAATTTATGTTACACTGTTTAAAGATGTACTTGCATTCCGTATCAGGAAATTTACCCCCTAATCAATCACGCCCGGAAAACCACCCCCAAGGACAACATTCCCCTAAGGACAATTACCATCCGAAAATTATCCTCGAGGACATTTACCCCCTACCTCTGAAAATCAGCCCCTATGATAATTACCCCCCCCCCCCCCTGGAAAATTACCACCTTTAAAGTTCACCCGTGATAATACTTCGGTTTAAATTGTTTCGGGGGTTAATTGTCCTAGGGAGGGGATGATTGTCCGAGAGTGTAATTTTCAAGGGGGGGGGGGGTAATTGTCCTTAACCCTAAAAAGGCCGGGCTATTTGAGGTCTTAGTAGGGCCGGGGGGGGGGGCATTATGGCCCCCCTTAAGATCTCATTGTTTTTTAACTTATGTATTTCATTGTTTTTTTTAACTTACGTATTTCATTGTTTTTGTTGTTTTATTTCATTTCTTACTACAATTCAACTATTTTGACTTCAAAAACAACCACCTAAACTTTAAACAAGACCCACTAACCCATGTTTGATCTGTTTTTAGGAAAAATGACTTTTCAATATGTTTTGTACACAAATCACGAAAATGAGCAATTTTCAGGCCGACATGCAAAGACAAAAGGTCACGTGACCTTGTAACCGTAGGTCCGATTTTCAAAAAAATTATTTCAACAGTTGCGCAAGACTCGAAAGAAAAAAGTCAGCGAGCGGCGGGGCGCCATCCATATGCGTTCCCGAGCAATCGGGAAAATCGTGGAGGGGGGCATAATGGCCCCCCCCCCCCGGCCTTATTAGGGTTAAGGATTAATTGTCCCGTTTGTAATTGGCCGGGGGATGATTGTCCAATAGTTAATTGTCCCAGAACCCTTGTATTCATGTAGCAATTGATATACTTAGTAAGTAACTTACATGCAAGGCAATCACCCCGAGTGACTTCTTTGGATTGTGAAGACCAGTGATGTGACGGCTTAGTCTACCGTCTGCGTATGTACCACAGCCAAGAAGCCTGCAACATAAAAATAATGTGTAAATTGAGTTAAAAAGAGAGAAATGGAAAGAAGATGTTAATTACATCCATTTGTAGATGATTACATGAACGGTTAAAGTGTACCGATCACCTGAATATTATTTATGTGTTTTGTTATGAATGTACCTACCCTCTATTTTAAATAAAACTTGAATAAAAAAATAATAAATAAATAATTTTTTTCCCCCCTTCCACAGGGTTCTTTATTTTCAAAACAAATTTCATCATATACAGAACATCCATATATCATATACAAATAATTAAAGAAATAATTTCCATACATAATGGCTTGACACAGATAATAATCATCACGGCCAAAAACTTTTGTGGCAGATAAAAACAAACATTTATGACAAAATTAGTACTTTAAATATATAATTTAAAAAAAATACCAAACATAAAATACATGATCATGTTTATGTTAGCACATTTCCAACACTCTCAAAATATTTTCTAAAGTGAAACCATTTCTTTTTTAGTTTATTCTCTCTGAGATTTGTTTGGTATATATATTTTTCCATTTCATAATAACGTTTTACAGCTGATAAAATTATATCAAATGATGGTAGTTGATTTCGTAATTTAGCTGAAAATATTTCTTGTCTTACAACCATCAGAACACAGTTGAGTGCATTATTATTGCTACCGCAAAATCCAAACAATTTATTTTGATTTGTAAATTTGATCCTTTCCCCCGTATTACGAAATATCCAGAACTCTAACTTCGACCATACTTCATTAGAATAGTTACAAAAGCAAAAAACATGTATGATAGTTTCATCATTGTTACTACAAAAAGTACACTTCTTGTCAGCCACCACACCAAATCTTAACAAACTGTCCTTCATATATAATATTCTATTTAAAATCTTAATTTGAAACCACCTCATGTTGATATCTATTGTTGACTGAAATGGAATTTGACAGTACGAACCCCAAAGTACATCTTGAAAATCTAAAAAACTTTTCCACTTTGTAAGGGCTTTACATTCTTTTACTTTGTTTTTTAGCAAAGACTGATAAATATGTGAACAACCAACATTTGATTTCACCACAAGGTGCACGGCTTCGGGAATGATAGGTGCTAAGGCCTTACTAGGAGCTACATGTGTAGTCATTTTAAAACCTGACCGAATTGCATTACAAAGACCATAGTACTGGAGGAAATTTGTTTGTATGTCAAATCTCCGTTGAAACTCAAAATATGAACAAAAAGAACCATCTATTTTTAGGATGTCATTCACAAAACGTATTCCTCGTAAATTCCAAGCCCCCCAAAATACTACTTTGTCATTTATTTTAATGTGGGGGTTATTCCAGAGAGGTTGACTTGCAATGTCGTCAATAAGAAGTTCGACCAAGTCTGACCAAGCGAAAAGGACCTCTTTCCAAAATGGATTTGGAGTCAAGTCTGCTAATTTTCTAAAATAATGTGAGCCCATTTACAGGTGAAAAAAATAGGTTTGGGGCAAGAATGAATTGAACATGTGAAAAGTGAAACTTTCTATCTGAGAATTAGTTACAAATCTTCTAATCCATGATATTTTCAGGGATTTAGCATGAATGTAAATATCAATCATCTTAACCCCACCTTTATTATACAGTTGACACATTTGTTCTCTATTGATTTTATCTGGGGAGGATTTCACTAACGCGCGCAATGCATCGCTAACCCTGCGCAGGGGCTTGAACCCATCGCAACCTCACCGAACCCATCGCACATGGACGATGAGTTGCTTATGGATTTCACTAAGCGCCTGCGACGGGTTAACCCGTCGCTAACTCATCGCAGCTTAGCGGATGCTCAAAGGGTGCTCGCAGAGCTGCGATGAGTTCAAAAACGTAACTTCCTGTCTCAAGGTCAAATACTGGCGCGAAAACTTTTATAAGTTTTTGTACACCGGTACGGTGTATGGAGGATTTCGGTTGTTTTGCAAGGTATTTTAATCATGGCTCGCCTTCTTTACATAAATAACGCGAGAGCACTTAATAGAGAGCGTGTTTTTAGGGATAGGACTAATCCATTGGATACATTAAACGATAAAAAGATGCACAAATATTATAGGTTTACGCGACAGGGTGTGATGAGAGTTATTGACTTGTTGGAGGACAGAATTGCGCCGTTGACTCAGAGGAGTCATTCTATTGATGCGAGGTTGCAGATTTTCGTTGCTTTAAACTTTTACGCAACCTCAGATTTTTATTCCAGTGTACTGAAAGATCATGGTGTTTCAATTTCAACTGTTTGTAGAATAATTAATCGTGTGACAGAGGTGCTTGCTAGTTTGAAAGAACAGGTAGTAACATGGAGGCCGGCGGGTGAGAAGCAAATGGAATTTTTGGAGTTGAGTGGCTTCCCGATGGTCGTCGGAGCCATCGACTGTACTCATGTATGGCTTGACGGCAGTCCACTAAAGACAACCGAATATGCGTACGTCAATAGGAAGGGGTGGCATAGCATCAATGTGCAATTTGTCACCGATGCAAATTACAATATAATCAATGTCTGTGCCCGCTGGCCAGGGTCTGTCCATGACTGCAGAGTATTGGAGAATTCCTATGTTGGGCAGGATTTCCAGCGTGGAGAATTGGAGGGAGTTCTCCTCGGTGACTCGGGCTACCCCCAACGATCATGGCTCATGACCCCTTTCCGCAACCCCCAAACACATGCTGAACGTACCTACAATAGGTAAATCTATTTTACTAAATTGAATTAGGTCTACATCATAATACTTTAACCGTTGGAATTAAAAAAAAAAAAATACATATACCGTAGACCCTATTACCCTCTGGACAATCCCCAGGACCCCCCCCCCCCCCCGTCAAGCTACTTAGCTTATTTCTGTAGCCCTCTTGCATCTAATTTACTTAATAATGCATTCAATATATTTTTTTAATTTCGTTTATTATCTGTATATCAAACCATTATTATGTTCATGAAAATGTATGATGAAAAAAAAAGAAAAAAAGATGCAGAAACCAAATCAAATCAAATCAAGGAAACCACACCCCCCCCCCCCCCTGGAAAATCAACACAAAGTCAAATTCCCCTCGCTGAAAAATTACCCATCCGCTCCCAAAATCTATTCCCCCCCCCCTTGTTCATGAAAGGGGAAGCCTACCCTGATAATCCCTTCAAAAAAGTACCATGGTAACCACGTTTTTTTTTGGACCAAATTACCATCCACCATGTATTTCATTGTTTTTGTACCATGATAACCATTAAAAAAAAATCATGGTTACCATGGTACTTTTTTTAAGGGATTATTTCGTTTTGATAAAAGCAAACTTTTTGTGGGGTAATTGTCCTCTTTTTTCATTTCATAGAGGGTAATTTTCCTCTGGGGGGAGGGTAATTGTCCTTGGGAAGTGGTTTTCCTGGGTAGGTTTTTTTTTCTTCATTTCATAGGGGGTAATTTTCCTCTGGGGGGGGGGGGGGGGGGGTATTGTCCTTGGGAAGTGGTTTTCCTGGGTAGGGTTTTTTTTCTTCATTTCATAGGGGGTAATTTTCCTCTGGGGGGGGGGGTATTGTCCTTGGGAAGTGATTTTCCTGGGTAGGGGGATTTTTTTTCATTTTATAGGGGGCAATTGTCCTTGGGAAGTGGTGTTACTGGTGGGAGGGGGTTTAATTTTATAGGGGGTAATTGTCACGCTGGCAATTGGCGGGGGGGGGGGGGGAGTTGTCAGGGGTCGCTTGTCCTACAGCCATATGTTATACATGTTTGTAGGTCTATGTTCATGTATAAGATTATTTTTGATTTATACAATGTGATTCATATTACATGTATATGACCCTTGACCTGCTTAATTATTACCACTGCTATACTGCAGTGTTATGTAGTACATCTTCTTCATTAAAAAAAATAGATTAATGTAGTTGCATTGCCGTCCTCCATCAACGACTTGTTTTGATTGATGTAATATGTTACAATGTAGAGTTTTCTGAAAAATTATGGCATATTAAATTCAAATGGAAGAGATCCTGCAGTGCTGCCACATAAATATCAACAATCTATTAACAAAATATTATGTCAATTATGGGAAATTATTTTATAGTGTATCTGATATACAAATATAATTATTGGTTATTTTTTCAATTTTTGCAATACAGGGCTCACATGAGAGGACGAGTAGTTGTTGAACAGACTAATGGACAGATCAAGAAGAAATTCCCTTGTCTGAGAAGAGGCCTAAGAGTAAAACCAAAGAAGGCATGCCAGATCATCATTGCGTGCACCGTGTTGTACCGGTTATCAAAGGACTGGAAAGAACCCTATCTTGGACGAGACCATGAGCTTCCTGATGTTGGTGTTGATGACTTTGATGGCCCTGTCAACAATGAGGGATATGCAGCACGAGCCCAACTGGTTGCCAGATGCTTTACTTGAAATCTGCTATATCCAGAGACATTGCTTTTCTATTTTTAAAGTACTTAGAAATGCATTGCTTATTGATGATGGTATATGACCCAGAGTCTACATATTGAACATATCCATGTACATTATTATTTTGATTTACTTGAACATTGAAGGTGGCAATGGGATTTGTATGTAAACTGTTTGTATTTTATATACTGTAAATATTATCTTCAAAGGTTCAATGAAAAAAGGGTAATACATGTTTGTATAATGAATATGAACATGTTATGAAGATATAATGTTAAACCATATTAAACTTGAAAATAAGAGATTTTAAGTTTTAAGATTTAAGTATTATTCCAAATTAAGGAGATACTAAACACACAATAAAATGGGTTCAAAATGTTGAACATTCTTTATTTATATATATTTGCAGATTTCTTTCGTATAAACACTTTGAGCATGTGATACATTAATGCCTGTGTCACCCTGTAATATACACAGAATGTAGCAGGACAGAACACTTTAATTATAATGTCTACTGCTCAGCATGCGTTTGGATATCTGCAGCTGTAGATTGGGGAGTGGCAGTCAATATCTGCAGGCACCCATGAATTCCTTGAAGGGTAGTGAGAATCCCTTCAAGAACCTTGACCTTTCTATGCTCGTTTGCAGCCATAGTTTTGTTGAGGGAAAGTAAGTTGACCTCATCTGTCTCTTTTTTCGCAGCTTTCTTCCCCTTCTTCCTCTTTCTCTTTCCTTCCTGCTGAGATTCCTGAGACTAAAATTAAGATATAAGATAAACAAGATTAATAACGGTATTAATAAATTATAGATTTTCTGTTGGAAAAATAGAAGAAATTGAAGAAGCAAGATTTAAGTGTACATAAGGGGAGGTAAAAAACAATTGTTCTATGTAAATAAAGGACATATGAAAGTGCACTGCGGCTCAGTGTTATGAATGTGGCCTCGTTTCCAGTAATGATGACTGCCTCTTGTTTCAAGTTACATGAACCCTTTGCTACTAATATCACTTTGTTTTTTTGATAATCTATACATGTAAGTAATACCTTAACCTGTAGACACGATCATTTAAGTTCCAAATTGTTATCCAAAATATGTATCTAACTATCTACTATATATAGATTTGAGATGAACCTCCTTTTCTCATTCTTCATTTTGACTTGGTGCTAGCCTGAAGACTTGAATACCAGCTATACTGATTTACTTGTATATATATCGGATTTTACTAGCATGCATATATTTTCTGTGAAAGTAAATATGAACTTGAAATTTACACTTACATCTTCGGTTTCCGTGTCCATTCTTGTGGCAGGCCTCTGTTAGAACAAAAATACTGTGATTGAACATTTCAAAAATCAAAGTTTAAAGTTTTATTTCATTTCATGTTATACAGCCTGAAAAGATTATGTATCAGAGTCATTGGCATCTATTGATGTAGATGTATTCAATTTAAATATTATAAGAATGATGAAAACAATAGTTTTAAAACCCCTTAAAAAATGGGCTGGCAAATTTTCACTTAAAATTGTATCATAATGTGAAAGAGGATGTCATTTAAGGCACATTTTTGCAAGGATTTTTAAAACATATGTGTTTGAAGTCAGTTATTGATGAAAGAATACAAATTTAGTCTTTCTGCTTACAACAGAAATTTTTAGCCAGTGGGGGGAATAGTTTAAGTGAAATTTTACCATCAAATTAATTTTGGGCTCCCAACACTTTAGAGGGGCTTTAACAATAAGATTTGTATATGTTTATTAAAACAATGGAAACAGATGTTAGAAAAGACAATGTCAAGGGGTAAATGACTGGAGATTAGTTTCATGAAATGTATGAAAACACTGATGGATATCTTTCATGGACCGAGTCTATACCTTCCTAACAGTCTGTATAGCTCCTTGTAGTGAAGTCACAGTTGCTGGTACTCGCTCAATAGAAAGTGCAGCGTGTTGCTGCAGAGAGACATACAAGACCACATTAATGCTATGCAATCATTATGATCCTTACCCAACATATAGTAACCCTGATGTGTAATCATACAACCCCCCCCCCCTCCCCACTTGTTACAGGGACTATAGGGGGGAATTGGTGTCAAAATCTAAAGAAAACCCGGCCACATGATGGAAAAAACTACTCCCAATACTTTTCTGATTTAAAATCAATTTAAATTTTCTATTAATAAATGGTAGCATTCAAACCTAAAAACATTTATCAAAACAGTAATAAAAAAGGGTTATAAATGTGTATATATATTATATGATTATATTATATAAAGAAAATCGTTAAGAATGCACAATTAATGAAAAATGTACATGTAGTACGTAAATGCTGACATGAGTGGGGTATGACTTTAAGGATAATTAACATCTTGGTACAACTCTTTTCAGCAGAATAATAAAGTCAAATGAGATTGCTAAAGAGAGTAAAGGGAAGAGAGTGAGAGAAAAAGAAAGAAAGATAGAGAATAGGAGAAAGAGAGCGAAGGGAAAATAATATGAGAGGGAGAACTAGAGAGAGAAAGGGGAAAAGGAGAGAAAAAGAGAGAGAGAGAGCGACATTGATCATGGAAAACTGAATCTTACCTTCCTTACATTCTCTTGAGATGTTTGTGATGAAGTCACAGTAGCTGGTACTACAGAAACTTCTGCATGTTGCTGGAAGGAAAACGCAAGACCATATAGTGTTATTCTATTATGTTTATTGTTTTAGTCACTTTGTATATTAAAGGTATAGTCTATGCATTTAAGCACATCTTACTACACATCCACCCCACCCCCTTCTAGAAAAGAAAAAATCCTTACATCAGGCCCATGTGTAAAAAAAAAAATGAAATTACACCACAGCTTCCATAATTAGGTTTCCTTTGTATTAAAGGACGTTGACATCCCAAAGATGAAGTAAGAAGAGATAAGGTCTATTCCACCCTTTCCCCCAAAAAAAAAGGTTTAAATATTTGCATTTTCTGGAGATGCATCACAACACCCCCCCCCCCCTTGGGACACACTCACACTTCAACAGCACTATGAAGATTGTTTAAAACTTTTACTCTTTATATGCTGTAGCATAATTAGCATTCAAAGTGGAATTTTGAAGAAGAAAAAAATTATGCCTTGCTATGATCAAATTCATAAAATTAACAGCAAGAGTAGATGCAAATTTAATGTACTTGTAGACCCTCTTTTTATTAATAATCTTACCTTAACAACTTCTACACCGTTCTTGTGTGATCCACTTGATGGGGCCTAGAAATATGAAAAATCATGAATACATGTGTTTATCAAATCTTTCTCTTAGTCACTGAGTCATTTCGTGGAATTAAGAAGCATTATACACTTTGGCCTCTTGTATTGGGTACACATGTACTTCTTGGGCTTTGTTGGAGTCAGTTGCAGTTTGCTGTTGAAAGTTTGCATTTTAAGTTTTAAGTGTAGTTGTTAGTTTCAAGTAGCAATTTATTTTGATTATTCCTAAGTCACTCAATATAATGGGCAGTTATTCTTGTTATTCATTCTTTTACAACAATGTACTACAGCTAGGAGCTTATGTTTTAACATACTTTAACTACTGGTGTTGTTTGGGGGGGGGGGGAGACTGCAAATTCATGAAGCATATGATGCTTTCATAATAACAGGAACTTTGTTTCAATTTTGAATTAACATCTATTGTAATAAAAGTAAATAGGTGTATTATTTAAGAGTTGAAAGCTTTTTGATATATTCAGAGCCAGAATGGCATTAACTCTATAAACAATAAAGTAGTTAGTGCATGTACTTTTGGCTCTCAACAGACGATTCTCATTCACTTACAGTTTCAGCCATGTCAATGGGAGCTATGCCGTCCCTGAGCTCATCAGGCAGTGCCTGCAGCACCAGCTCGTAGAGTCTGTGGGCCGGCACAAAGCCTCCTCCACCTGTGACAGTTGAGAGAAATGCATGTACATGTATATCAATTAGAGTTTATGTGATACGATGTTGATTTTATCAAAATGCCAATGTAAAATATGCATTTAAAGTCAATAGTCAATATCACGAAGGCAATTTTAAATACAAATTATTCACAGAAGACAATTCTATCTTGAAGTGTTTCTCATGTACTATTCTAAAGGAATTTGATTGCTAACATAGATCATATAACATACATTGAGATTTGCATGAGAAGACATTCCATGGATCAGTCAATTAACCTTTTTCAAGTGTAAAAGGAATAATTATGTACTTTTTTTTTAAATAATTATTTTAAAAACAAAATCCCAGAATGATACAAATCTAATAAAAGTTAGTGCATGGTGGTTTCCTTACTTCCTTATACTTCTTGTCACTTGCCCACAAGAGCCTTTCTCCTTAAGTTTAAGACAGTCTGATTTTATTATTAGGTCTAGTCTAAATTTTTAATTACTAAATCTATGTGTGTGTTGTACATATTGTGAAATAAATCAAGAGAAACCTACCAGTTCCATGCACTTGCTGCTTCCTTTGTGTTGAGTATTTTTTGGCCTTAGAAGCCAAGTCCTGCCATTTTTTCCTCAGCTTCGCCCAGGACCTGTCTGGGCGACCCCCTGCTGCTACTATGTGCCTCCGGCACTCCTCCCAAGCATCCATCTTTTGGCGCTCCACGCCCAAACTTCCCCTCCCGCCACTCCCAAAAAGACGGGATGCGTGTGAGCCCACGAAGCTGCAGAGGGCCACCACCTCATGGTCCTCCCAGGGCTTTCCTCTCTTCTGAAATTTAAAACAAAAACAACAATAGATCAGTGGGAAAATTCATCATTTCCAGTTCCAATCCACTTAATCCACAGACTATTTTAGATCTAGACCCTAGGGCTAGGCTAGACCTAGAGTCTAGATCTAGGTCTAGATCTAGATCTAGACGTAGATTTCTAGACCTAGGCCTAGATCTAATTGATTTTTTTTCTTTTCCATTGTCACTGGGGGGGGGGGGGGGGGGAGATTGCCTCGTTGTTGTTGTTGTTTTAGTCTTATTAAGGGCGTGTGTCATTCAATTATAATTTTTACTCGGCTGGTTGTGCCCTTAGCCTATAGATCTAGGGTCCAGATCTAGATCTAGATCTAGATCTAGAGATCTCTTAATTTATCCTGAGAAGGTGATAGCCCTAACTTAGGCTTGCATGGCCTAGAATTCTACTCAATAAATGAGGATCACATTCTACGATTTAAGTTTGAAAATACCCTTCCCCCACGTTTTGCATATCATCGACATCGCCTAGATTCTAGGCCTTATGCATTAGACCTAGATCTAGGCCTAGGCTATTATTAGTAGCCTAGAGGTCTAGGCCTAGATCTATTTAGAATGCAGCTGTTGTCTTGCTGAGCAAAAAAAAAATGATAGATTCCCTAGACTAGATCTAGATTAGACCTAATTAAACTGTTAGACCTTAACTTAATTGTCTTGGGCTGGCGTGAACCACTTTTTTTTGTCTATTCTGACAAAAATGCTATGAATATTGTTAAGTTTTTGAGGGGCTGTATCTTTTGATAGAAACATCGGTGAGTCTTGAACTTTGAAAAGTATTATTCTGATTACATTTTTTACTCAAATATCCAACAAAAATGGTGACCGGGTTTTGAAACAGTGTGTGCCATCTTAACATCTAATGTAGATAGCAATGTATTCGCCGCGCACGTTCATAGACTAGATCTATGCACAGGCGCAGCAAACCCACCACGAAAACTTGGCGATGAGCCATAACAAAAACAAAATCGTAAACTCCTGTGTTGATGAATAGTTTTGAAAAACCACAATCTAATAGCAACGAAACTTGTAATTCTAAATTAACTTACGTCACTGGCATCATGCATGTTGCTTGAATCCATTTTCAACTTTTGTTGGTGAAGTATCAAGTTGTTGCAGTTAAAACTGGCGGGCAAAAGGACGCTAGTATATAGCGATGCGATTGACCTCATCCTCGTTCACGAAGACTTTACTCATTAAAAATGCATCGCTGCTGCGACGGGTTTAGTGAAATCCTCTGACTCTACTCAACGCAGCAGCGATGAGTAGAGTTCGAACGATGGGTTGGGCGATTAATCGCTCGGCAATGTTAGTGAAATCCTCCCCAGGTTTGTTACCCCATATAAATGCATACAAAGAACGATTTATATCTTTCATAATTTGCGAATTCGGTTCTGGAAGTGAAAGCAACAAATAGTTCAATTTTGGCACCAACAAAGATTTGACTACAGTTATTCTTCCGAGGACAGTTAAGGTTCGTTTGGACCATGAAATAATTTGGCGTTTTATATCTTTATTTTTTTCAGTATAATTATGATTTACCATCTCTACTAAGTTAACCGAAAAATCTATTCCTAAGTATCTCGAATAACCTTCTGATACCCAATTTAGTTTGTGCTCTGGCATTAGCTGTTTTTTGCAGGCTCTATTTTTCCCAATCCATATCACATGAGTTTTTGTAATATTGATCTTTAGGTTTGACATTTCTTCAAAATCACCCAATATTTTTAGTGAGCTCTGTAAATCTTCTTTTGTACCGTTAAGTGTCAAAATGGAGTCATCTGCGTATTTTAGTAGTTTACAATTTTTTCCCTGTAGATGCAAGCCAATTAAATCATTGGAATGTCTAATCAAAATTCCTAATATTTCGCTAACAAGTAAAAACAGATATGGAGATAATGGGTCTCCTTGACGACACCCTTGTCCTATAGTAAATCTTTCTGTGCAAAAACCATTTACTGTGACACAAGAAGAAGCATTTTGATAAAATAGATTAATCCATTTCTTAAGCGATGGCCCCAAATGAAAAAAGTCAAGGACATTGATTAGAAACTTTTGAGATAAACAATCGAAGGCCTTTTCAAAATCAATCATCAACAACATGCCTGGAATATCATTAAGTTCGGTATATAATAATATATCATGAAGTAAACTTATATTTTCTCCGATAAAACGGCCTTTCAAAAATCCTTTTTGATTTTCATGTATCACGCGGGGCAATACTTGCTTTAATCGATTAGCTATGCACCCAGATGCTATTTTGTATATAACATTTAAAAGTGAAATAGGACGCCAATTCTTTAATAAATGTCGAGGCTTGTTTCCTTTAGAAATTAAAGTGAAAATTCCTAATTTTTGTGACTGCGACAATTCTCCTGTAAAATAAGCAAATGTTCAAAGATCTGATAATGAACGTTTTAAGATATTGCCAAAAGAAACGAAAAAAATCAACGGTGAAGCCATCTTGTCCAGGGGATTTATTATTTTTCTTACTTTTTAGCAACAAACAAACCTCACTTTCACTCAAAGGACCTTCTAATAATGTGGACAATTCTGGAGTTAACTTAGGAATATCTGGATAGTTTAATAATGTGTCTATGTCTACCTCTTCAGTGTCTTTCGCCTTATATAGGTTTGAATAAAATTTAAAGATTTTGTTAGATATACCATCTTGTCCACTAATAACATCTCCATTTTCTGTTGACAATTGCCATATTTCTTTATTTACTTTATTCTGTTTTTCCAAGTTTAAACAATATTTTGATGACCTTTCTCCCAGCTCCATCCATTTGATTCTAGATCTCATGATAATTCCATCATTTACTTTTAAGCGATAGGTTTCAAGTTGTGACTTTTTGTCACTTAATTCTTTTATTAATGCGGTCTTATCATTCGATGTCACTAGTCTTTGTTCTAGTACTTCGATATTTTTTTCCAGTTCCTTTTCCCGACTGATGTTTTGTTTCTTAATGAACGAGCCATAGGATATAGATTCACCCCGCAATAGCATTATCAAAGGTTAAAAAAATAATTGGTCATTGATAGACAATTCACAATTTCCAACTATGTTATCGTTTTCATCAAACTCTACCTCATCTTTTGCATAAAATGTAATTGTCTCTTTTTATAGTTTTTATAATTTTTGACACAAAATTTTCATCTTTTAATTGAGAATTATTAAATTTCCAAATTCCTGGACCCCGTTTAATTTTATTTAAAGACAAGCTAAGACGAACTAATGAGTGATCTGTTCGATAACCAGATAAAATATCAGATTTATGAACTAATGATAGTAATTCTGATGATATATAAAAAAAGTCTTATCTACTTTGTTTAAAAGGGTTCGGCAGGCGCCACGTGCAATATTTTTTCACAGGATATCTAATTCTCCATGGGTCACATAGATCTAATTCGTCCTTCATATTTTTAACCTGCTGTCTCGCCCTAGGATTATTTACATGAACGTAATTATGAGTATCAAGGGTCTGGTCCTGCACTAAATTCCAGTCTCCACAAATAACAACATATGGATTTTCGAACTCTGTTATGATACTTTGTAAATCAGTATAAAAAGTTGAATTATCAGTGTTCGGGCCATAAAAAGACGCCAGTGTAATGTCGTACTCATATAATGTCAAATCTAAAACTACTAAGTTTCCACCATTGTCTATTCTACTTTGATTAACTTTGACCGGAATAGCATCCTTAAACAAAATTGCTACTCCTCTAGAGCTGGATGTATGATAAGAGAAAAAACACTTGCCTCCCCATTTGCGACATATTTCTGTTTCTATGTCAGGAGTGAAATGGGTGTCTTGAATAAAACATACATCATATTGTTTAGATTTCAAATATAACAAAACATCTTCTCTTTTCTTATCATTTGCTAGGCCGTGAAAATTCATTGAAATAAAAGTAATGTCACCCTGCATCAGACGAGAGTACCGAGGCGAAAAAAGACGACGAACTACCTGTGGAAGATTTTTTCAATATAAATACAACTAACACACATACAAAAACACAAACATCAAACACAAAGGTCGAGTAACGACACGACCGACAAGCCACGGGCAACAGCACTGTGGCCAAAATAAATCCTCTCAAGACCCTTTAAAATACGAGAGCAATGATTTACATTAATTTATATAGCAGGGAGTGTAACAGAAAGAGAGATAGAGATAGATGGTGCAACATCTTAAGTTCAAGAGTTCAAGCAAGTACATTTCTATAAAGGCTTATTGAAATTTACAAAGGAAGACACCTGTTGAAGGTATGCGCATGGTTTCTAATGAGATCTACAGTGTACATCTGAATACATTCTTTAGCGTTGCCAAATCCTGCATCCAGAACCAAACTAAAAGTACTATTCTCCACTGCCAATGAACTTAATGAGTGTAATGTTGCTGTCTTGCAAGTCAAAAATATGACTTTTAGAATCCTCAGATCCTTAGAATCCTTCACAAAAACGAATACCTCAGTCTTTTTTTTTTAAACATAAGAAAATTAAAAGATAAACAACAATTCAGAGACTGGAAGTATAATGAAAATTTACTTCTGGCAACTTTGATTTATAATCTTTCCCTTTTTAGGGGTACTACAATAAGTGCAAAAAATGAAAACGTATCAAAATCAGAACATCCTCTGAACATAAAATTTGCTCTACCTTCCTTCTTTTAGGAGTACTACAATAAGTGAAAAAATGAAAACGTATCAAAATCAGAGCATCCTCTGAAAATGACATTTTCTATGGATATAAGGAAATTTAAGTTCAAATCAAAAGAATGTTTATGTTCATTACACTCTAAATATCTTAGACAGACAAAATCTAAATGCAAGGAATTATCTGCCTGATTTTCGAACTGTTTTACAGTTATATCCACATTCTCTCCTTTCATTATTTTACATAATAAATAATTGCCCCAGTGACTATGGCCAGTCTAATAAGTGCTATTTTCGTTCTAAGAAAGGCCCCTTATCATCCCTGATGAGTGCTGCTTTCTAGGTATGAGAAATGCCCCTGCTGAGATTTGATAAGTGACCCTTTAACTTTGAAAGATGCCCATTTCCGTTTATAATAAGTCCACACGTGATGTGTTTGCATAACACATGATTTATGCTTGCAACAAATGGACTCAAAGAACATGTGATAAAAAATATTAAAAAATGCCAATGGATGACCTAAAACAGGTGACGTTACCCCACCCCCTCTCAAAACGGAACAAAATTTCGGGACCAAAAAAGAAAGTGTCCTCTCCCCCCCCCCCCCCCCCCCCCCCCTTATTAAGCGGCTGGCTGAGTCGTTGCGAAATTTTTGACCTCATTTTAACCCCCCCCCCCCCCCTTGAAAAAAATCCTTCGTACGCCACTGTTAGTAACAGAAAAAGCCTGATCAGAACAAAATGTAGCCCTCCGTACAGATTTTCTACTACTATGCGGAGTACAATACACGCAGAGTGGATATGAACTACCAAAGTGAAATACATTATGAGTACGAACCCCAACGAACGAAGCTACATGCACTTCTTTCAACAATAATATGTTCGTTCATATAGGTTGACCCTTCTACATGAAAAGACATGCGTTTCGGCTTCATACTAATAAAGTAATTTTGTCATAATATTAACAATTGTATTATTGTCTTAAGATCATCACACCACTGATTAAATGTGATATTCTCAGTTATTACTACTAAATTAAAACAAGATTTTCTCCGCGGAAAATAGTGGTCAATTCAGCTGCAAACAATCAATTATTGAGGAATTAAGAAGGTCATTTAAATAGATCAGAAAAAAGAGTAGGGCCTTATGTGATAAACAGAAACAAAATAAACCAGCTGAACACATGCAAGAAAACACGATGATCGTTAATAATTAGTTTTGTTATATTTCCGGCTCATTTTCTTCGTGAAAATGATATATATACTAAACATAACGGCATTCAGACCGCTTGCTAGCTTTGAGAAATTTACATCATCTATATACGATTTCATGAAGAAGAGGTTGGCAAATTTGCTACTTTCCAGCTGACAGAATCTTAATCTTCTCTTTAAACCATGAACAAAGTTATCAAATCAATAGTAAACATCCAATAAGACAGGTACATGTATATTTAAAATGAGTTCACCAAACATAATTAAGCGCCTTTAATGTAGGCTAGGTGTCAATTGCCCATTGTAAACTAGAGCGAAAACACCATTTGAATTTCAAGATGTTTGATACCCTTAGCATTAGAATCAGGTTATCATTAATGGTTATTACCAGTATTATAACTAGTATTGTTAATTGTATTATTATTGTTATCAATTATTATTACTGGGGCTACCAA